TTTATGAAAATAGTTTACTGTATACGGGAAAAAATATTTTTAAACAACGTATATATATATATATATATATATATATATATATATATGTATGTATGTATAAAAATGTTCGGTATTATTTAAATTATCTTTACGATAGTTTCGTGTCGTTTCGGCGAAGCGATTCGTCGTTGTCGGCTTGGGCTCGCGTCGCTGCTTCCGTCGTCGTCCTCGTCTCAAGGGGTTTCGCATTCGGCAATTATTAATATAATCGATTCTTATCACAGAAGTTATTTACACAATTTTCATGTTTCAATCCGCCCGCCCGCGCGCTTACGAAACGAGCTTCGTTTCCACCAATAAAGATGCGTACATTTACCTCGTATGTAAATTTATCTTTTTGTTATCTATATCCTTAATCGCGGCGAAGATAATCGAGAAATCTAGCCGTTCTATCGGAAAGAGAATCGCGCGCGTGGAAAAATCGATGCAGCGCTTAACTCTTTCAGTCCCAGTTGAAATTGAATATTTTAAAATAATATATTGTGAGAGAAATATCTGTTTCAATTAAAAAAATGTATGCCAGGAAATAAAAACATAAAATACGTTCGCGGTTATGGCAAACAAATTGATTGGTGTTATTTTTTTTTTATCTACTTTACTTTATTCATTTTTCATATTTTTAAAATGAAAGCCCTCTCTGTATGCGTGTGTGTGAAAGCGCTTCTACTTTATAATTCTCTCTTAATTGGATCTATTTAATGGATGATCTTCGGACACTTACACAATGGCCTCTCTTCGCGTGTATCACATTTTTTTGCTTTAAATTGAGACTGAATTATTAGAGAAAGGATTAAACGCGTGCAAACGCAAAAGGATTTTTTCAAACGAATCGCGAAGGGATGAAGAGAATTTGCGCGCAAAGATAACCCCGTGTCTCTCCCAAGTCGGCCTAATTCGCGTCACGAATTTCAAAGTATTACGCAACATCGAGTAACCGAGTTTATACGCGTAGTGCTATACGCGTCGTCTCTTGCGATTGTTGTTGAGATTAAGGATGCAATAGCAACGACTCTACCGAAATTCTATTCGTTTACTTCCGATTGAAAGGCCGATAAAAAAAGAATGTTTCCGCATTGCGTTAACGCATCGCTCGCGTTATACATTGAGAAAAAAGTTGTTATCTTGATTAAACACGTTTTTAATTGAAACGTTTAAATATTTAAATCAAATACCTAAAATATTTCAATTAAAGAAACGAGAACCAATTAAATGCATTTAATCAAGTTGACGACTTTTTTTTTCGGTACACGTGGGTGGCACGTGCGCGTTATCGCGACAATTTGTCAGAATTCTTAACTCGACCAACGATTTCGGGATATGTCGTGATATCGCTTGAGCTCTGTCTGTCTGTCTCTCTATTTATCCGCGCATATATTAAAAAACACCACAATTTGAATATTAAAAACGCAAATCGTGCTTATCGGCTAAATCGTGCACGATCTCTCGCTATATCGCGCGCTTCACGCCCGATGGCGAGAGTTAGAGAAGTTAGCATACAATTAATAGTAACGACAGTAGAGCAGCGGTAGGTAGGTAATAGTAAGTGTAGTCTCTAGCGGTAATAGTAATAGTATAGTTAGTAACGACATTAGTAATAATAATAATAGTAGTAATGATAACCATAATAATAATATTCGGTAGCGCTAGTAATAGTGATAAATAGTAATAATGGTAATCATATTAATAGTAATAGTTTCCTGCGATGTGTGTGTGTGTATGTATGTACGTGTATGTGTGTGTATGTGTGATAATAGCACTAACGATGATCGTCGTTTCCTTCGGCGTAAATAATAGTAATAATAACCACATGACTTTACACTAACCAAATCATTTACCGTACATCGTCGAGCTTCTAGAGCTTAATTCGCTTAATGTTACACGGACTCGTTTTTCTTTGTTTTCTATTTTTTTTTCTTTCTCGTACTTTTCCCTCTTTGTCTCTTGCGCGCGCTTCTTCAATGCTCTCATTAATTACGTACAGCGGTTCGATCACAGAGTGGTCCTCCGTATGTAACGCGGTTTAGTCTCTTAAACGTACAAACACCATGTAAAATTTTTCTCTACGCTGCGTACTCACTAGATTCGTTTTGCTGAGCGTTTTTGAAACTAACGCACTACTCTGCCTTTTCGCCTTCGTATCGTATATATAAAAAAATCCCCGGTGAGGAGGCATTGAAGATACACATGTGCCTATACATCTGGGAGGATGTGGCCCGTACATTCGCCTCGCACTTAGCTTCCGCCTGATCTCGAATTTTACTTGTCTAATACAAGAACACATGGCATCAACAAAATCAACATGGCATGGAGATCGAGAGCACCCGATTTTTAATGTTAAAAACACATTCGCGGATCTGTACACTCACATGTGTATCTCTCTCCTCTTTATATCACTATTATAGCGATGCGTCATTTCTCGCGAGATGTGCCACTCGAGATCGTAGACCTTGTGCACCTCGTACCTTGATTTACACGCACGCGTCCTCGGATATTTTCCCGGTTTTCTTTTAGCGTCTTTCATCCGCAAATATGGCTGTCGCCGTTACACTTGTATACTTATCGATTAGCGCGTGATGAGTTAGAAAATTACGCTAGATCTCGGAGGATATTCTTTTTTTTGAGTGAATCTCCCGTTGATCAGCCGCGCCGCCTCGAAATCGTCGGTGACTCCCGTACGATGTCGATTGTTTCAGCGATTGTGCAAGGACCGTTTACATCGCGTATTAGATTCGTAAGGTGTAGAAAAATACGCAAAATATCTGAGAAAGAAACTGCTTGAAAGAAAACGAAGCTAGCGCTTGATTTAACAAAGCTCGTTCAAACGAATATCAAGTTGAGTGAACAAATTACATTAATTATTTATTGAATCACTGATTACGAATTAGTTGATTCAATGATTACGATTCAATAATTAGGGACGCGACTCGAATTATTACAAATATTATAATATGTTTCTTAATCCGATCATCGATTCTCACTTAATTATTACAAGAAGCTGCAGTAGTTTGTAACGATTGTAAAATAACGTGTTTTATTCCAATAATACGTGAATGTGACATCGTGTCGAGAAATTACGCAATATAAACGGCCCTTCAGTCATCTCCCTCGCGTATTCGCGAATTCTATTTGCGATTCGTTGTGCTCGAAAATTGTTCCTGTGCGTCGCGCACCTTGTCCGATTCTCTCGCGTGCGTCCCGAGGATTCACATTGTATCACAATTCCTTCGTCTACACGCGCTTCGCGAACGCTGCAAATCTACGTCGCACGAAATGATTGTCGGCAATGATCGATAATCACTGAAACCGTTCACGATAAACGAATTTGCAATGATTTCCGGTTTGATTTGATTTGCTACGCTCCGTTCTGTGCTCGTCGATTCTATCGGTGGATCGCCCTCGGTGCGCGATTTACGGTCGTTTGTGAGATCGCGGAGTGATCGACGATCTCGATCGGCACGCGATCGACTATCGTAGATCATCCAGTTCATCTCGAAAGAAAGAGAGAGAGAGAGAGAGAGAGAGAGAGAATTTATCGAGATGTAGATAAATATATACTGTCGCCATCGTATACATTTAAGCAGTTTGCCGTGGATATGCATTCGTGTAGAGATGTATGTAGATGTGTACGCGTGCGTGTTTAGCCAACATTGTTCACTCATGTACCAACTGGATCGCTGCAGGATGTACTTAAGTCCCACCTAAACGATTTCTCACTTATGTACATATCTATCTGAGTATTGTTAGTCGGAACACTTTAACGTTATTCATCATTATATCTTTCTTCGCGTCGTTTGAACGATTATTTCACTCTGTCATTCCGTACAGCTTCGTTAAAATGAGGCAGGGAGAGCGGTCCGGGAACGGCGAGAATGTTTGACAACGTTAAAACCTTTGGCGACTGTAATTTGATATTATATGTAACTGAAACTATCTTGTTAATTACGCCAACTTTTACATATCGAGATAGAATTAGTCCTACATAGAGCAAATGAAATAATTTGAAAACAATTTAACTATAATACTGATATCATCAATTATAAAACATGATATTAAAGATAAAGAGGAAAAATTTCGTTCTTCGATTAAATATATTACGATTTTTCTAAATGAATATTAAGTATCCATCATGTGATTGTTGAAGATTTTGTAATATTTATTTATTTTATCTATTGCATGGCATATTTTCTTCCGAAATTAATACTATTAATATTATTAAAGCAACAGAATCTCTCCTCTCTCCAAATTAATAACAATTTGTTACAATTGACAAAACCGTTATAATGATAAAAAATGGCGAGTGCAGTCTGAAATTCTGAATAATATACGATCAATCCGTACGAAAAGTGCTCGTATATAACCGTGGTAAAATAAACAATGAAAAATCAACAGCGATAACAATAATCCGGCAAAACTTTTGTCGTATAAATAGAACATTGATCCGTATAATCCACGTGATACGCGATAACAAGCGGATTCGCGAGTCGGTTCGTAATTAGCCGCGGTATGTAAAGGTATCGACTCGTTCGACGACGACGAATTTACGCTAATGAGAGCCCCGGAAGGTTCCTGGCATCCTTCCTGCTTCTCCTGCTTCTCCCTCAAGAATTAATTGTTTGATTAGTTCGTTCGGGATCAAGTTCTTTTTTCACCTTTTTTTACCTCTGCGCCAACGATTGCAGATTGTATCGTTAACGGTCTTTATAATCGACAATCGGGCATTGTAATCGACAACGAATTCATTACTTTTTATGATTTATTATTTTTTCTTCTTAAGAGACACACTTTTTATGGAAAATCCAAACAACTAAACATCTAAATATAAACTTTACTTTATGCTTGGAACATCAGAATATTTCATGCAAATATTAATTGTTCTTTCTATAACAAAAAATTATATCTATTATCTAATAGAATATGGATTTATATATCTAATAAAATAAAATTATATTAATTTATCGAATGATCATCTGTATGATTTATCGAATGATTTATCGAATGATCATCTGTATGATTTTATACCTTTATATCGACAAATTATTCGAGATTCGTTTTGAAAAATAACGCGAGGAAGGTATGTTAAGAAAACAATGATGATACAATTTAGAATACTTGATTTCAAATTACAGTCGTTGAAGGATTCGACAGCGCGAAGTCGAGTAAAGAAACTGTGCGATCCACCGAGATATAAATCATCGTCGCGGTAGGCACAGCACCGCGAATATGTCGATCGCTCTCGCAGCGCTCGATCACGATCCACGACGGATTCACCGACGTCTCCAAGGACTCGAGGGTACGCGCGTGACTCTGTACGGAAAGCAGGGGTGGTCCAACTTGGCAGTTTTCTTTTTCTTGTTTTTTTACGCGCGGTTCGTTCGCCCTCGACGCGTTCGCCTCCGTGCGTGTGGTCGTTCGTAAGTTACGCTGCGTATTTACGCGGCTCATGCGGCTTGTACGATCCTCGGACGAATGAGCGGCCGATCGATCGATCGATCCTCTTTCGCCGATCGGCTAAATAAGCGACGCGTCGACCGCTCTCTTGTGCGCTTGTATCTCTCCAATACACACACCCACACATCCACAAAGCCCCACATATTACACATACACACACGTACACATGCGTACACACATATATACACGCACGCACCGTAGTAATACACGCGGTGTGACAATATTCGACGGGTTTTGCGGAAATGCGGAGGAATCGCTTACGCTTTTCGAATACGAGACAGGAGGGCTTTATAACGGGAGAACGTGGAAAAATATATCGAGCGTAGAGGGTCGATCGTGCGATCGGTGATGGCGCGAGTTTTTATTAGATTTCGCGTTTTTGTGGAGCTCACCTTTGGAGAAACGTACCGCTGAACCGCGTTAGCCGCGCGGTTTATACAGAGGGAAAATATAGGATCCTCGTCGAACGCGAAACAAACGGCGACACGGTCACCCTTGTCTCGGCTCTCGTCATTGGTCACGGCGCCGCGCGCGTTCACCCTGTCGATCGTCCAGGCCGCACTTTACTTTCCCACCGTTTGAGAGAAGGTTGAACACCCCTGACTCGAGTTTTTATATTTGGCAGTTATTTTAAAGTCCGTCTCGGCTCCCCACGAGAGACCCTCAACAGATCGCGGCGTTAATTAATTACGACTCAGTCGTAACGCGCGTGCGTGCGAGCGCGCAAAGCGACTAACAATTAATTATATCGTTAATTATTATTTTCATTATTATAAGAAATATTTTATATATCGTTATTGTTACTATTATCGAAAGGCCGCAACAACGCTCTTCCGAGGACTGCGCGATCTCCTTCTCTCGTGATGCCACGTGTCGATTCTCGTCGCGCGTCCACTTATCGCGTTATCCGCGAAATCGCATCGCTCGTCGAACTCGAGATCGATCTCGATCGCCGAAACAAGGCCTCGGCGATCGTCGAACGAAGTCGCGATCGACGAGAGCCCGCGATACGCGATTTAGACTTACTCGGCAGCACGTCCTCTCTCTCGTCTGCACCTACCTTCCTCCTACGATCTAGAGGCAGCCTCTAAATCTTCGTCCAGCTCGTGTCACGCGTCGATTATCTATCAGTTTCGCACTGTAGAACTAATTAATTAAGTCACTTAAACGAAAGAACGCAGCCGCAACGAAGCGTGACATCGGCGATCGGCTCCTTGTTCTCTTCCTTCCTTTTCTCTCTTCTCGAATCCGGAAACGTTTTCTTTTCCCTCCAGGTATGTTTCTCTCCACTCGAAAGAGACGAGGCGTCCGCCACCGCTGCCGCATGTCCATCCTCCCCGTGGCTTTTTTCATGAACGTCGTTGGTGGTCTCACTCTTGCTTGCCTACTTACTCGCCTAACTGAAAGCACGTCGCGCGAAAAAACCGGGCGCACAACCCGGCGGCGTTTTCCAGCGTCGAGGATTCCGAAAACGAGAGAACATTCTCTTGTTCCCGAAAGGGGTGAGTCGCGAAGAAGGGCGCGAAAGATGCTAACGAGTCCGTCTCTCTTTTTCCGTGCTTTCTCGTCACTTCCACGCGCTCCGTAGCCGCTTCCTCGAATCGGACGTCGTTCCTATGAACGAGAGAGAAAACGCAATTATAACGTGAAATGTCTGTTGATTTTTAGAGAACTGATTTAGGAAGTGAAGGGGTTTTCCGAGATATGTGTGTGTGTGTGTGCGCGCGCGCGAGCGTCGATTGCTTCTTGCAAGTTTATTTTTTCATTAAATCCTTCGAGTCGAGCTTTTAGTTCCAGTAGTTCTAAAGCTCGAAATGTGAGAGTTTCCATCTGACTAATATATTCCGATAACTTTTTAATCTTCGATTGAAAAGGGAATATCGTGTAATTAAACTCAAGAAGATTAAGAAAAGCAATGGAGATAAAAATTGGGTCAGAAATTTCCTGGATTAACAAACAAAAATTTAGTTTTCATATGTAATTTTTTCCAGTAACATTCATATAAAGGGGTGTCAGTCGAAGCTAATTAACGTTTTAGTTTTCTCAGTATAATTACGTAATTAAAATATGCTCGTTTGTTCTATATAAAGGTTATTATTTCGTGAATATTAAAATTTTGCTAATTTATATATTGTTATAAGCAAAACAAATTATAAATATTCTTAATTTTATTATTATATATATTATTATATATAATAATATTATTATATATATATAATATATATATTATTAATTGTGAGTAATAAATATTCTTTACTAATTATATATGCTAGTTTTGAATTATTATATCATTCGAAGCCAATAATAAAGTAGCAGCGAATACTTGAAATGATTTAATCGAATGGTCGTATATCCGAGTTAATGCATAAATTGCGCTCCGGACTGCGTTCTGGAGGCACCGAACGGCAATTAGCACGACGAAATAGTAAAATAGAGATATTCGCGTTAGTACGATTGGAAATTTTCAACGCGTGCAGCGGCCAACGAGCCAAGCTTGTTACATGGCGCTTGTTAACATTTCCACGCATTATTAACTGCATTACGATCATCTGGTCCGTGTCATTCGCATGTAATGATGACGAACTATGCGATCCGTACGGTGCGAATTCACATGCTGATTTCAATCTTGTATATACGAGCAATGTACTAGTCGCACGTTATTAAATGAATTCACGAGCTTCGACAGATTGATTGACGTTGTATTTTCAGTAAAAAAATTATTGAGTTTTTTGGACAGCTTTTTTAGTATCTTCTTCTATGAAACATAAATAAAATATAAAATACGAAATAAGAAAAACATACAAAAACTAGGAAATCTTTTCTCGTGAATGATTAATATATAATGTATGGAAGGGAAGAAAGAGGAGTAATAAAAGAACTGTAATAAAAAGAGAGACATAATTTATATCCTTACCAAATTCCAGGAGGCGCTATCCCTGGCATTTTTTGTGCATGTTTTTTCGGTTCGACCGGGGCAGTCTATTACTGGACGATTATGTGTGGCGCACGACACAGTATCACCACCGTAGCCAAAACCGTGAATAACGTGAAGATGAACAGACAAAGCCTTGATTTCGTAGGGGAAAAAAATTTTAGTGTTAGTTTTTACAGAATAATATTATTTTAGCAGAATAATGTATTTTTGTTAGATAAATAATAAAGACAAAAAATTAGTTTATTTTGAAACAAATTTGAATTGTAAATAACATAGATATAAAAACACATCTATCTCGAGATAATCAAAATTCACGTATTAAATTTAATCGATATTATGAAATAAATGAGCTTTATAAGATTGAAAAATTGTTGAATAGAGAAATTCTGAGAAGAGAATAGTTGATAATTACCAAGTAAGTTTCAAACGTTTACATAATGGATTCTTCTAGAGTTAAGTTAATGGGTCGGCGCATAAATGACGGATGAGTTTTTCTTTGTGCGAAAAACGAGGATCTGAATTTCGAATCTCGCTGTAAAAGCTATCTCTTTGTCCGTGATTTTTCGCGAGTGCAACTACGACTGAAACCACATGAAAGATTTAAAAGCATCCCAACCTGTCGACCACCATGGCGGCGAACTTCCAATCGCTAATGACCTCATCGTCCTCGTCCGCCTTTTTCATGCGACTCGTGATGAACTGCAATTCCTTGAGAATTGTGTGAAGTTCCTTCTGCATACCGCTGAGAGGCAACGATGCCGAAGTCTCCTCGACTGTCGCCGGTCTGGTCGACAGTGGTGTACCGTACGCCGACCTACTGTAAAAGATCATGTAAATTATTACTCTCAAAGATGTCTTATAATAGGTCTCTCAAGCGTCGATAGAAATTTCGATTGTCGGAGAATTTGAGAAAACGCGATTTTTCAAAATCAAATTGTCAGATATACAACAGTTGTTTATAAATTATTGAAATAATTTTAATTTATATGTCGATATACATAAGGTAAGTTGTAAAGTTTTTGTAAAAATTTCTTATTCAGCAAAACGATTATGAATTATTGTGGTTATTTATACCTGAAAAGTTTACAACATTCATATTTTAATTTCTCATATTTTAACTTTTCCAACAACAAAAACATATTAATTATTATATTTATACATTTATATTTTTGTTACTTTATTTGTTATGCTATGTTACAATTATTTAATTTGAGCTTTTAAAATAATTTTCTCCTGTTTCAAATACATTTATAAAATATCATATTTTATGTAAAATCTCTCTGATGAACACGTTTATATCTTCTTAATAATTTAACAGAAAATTAAATCATGAAATTATCAAGTTATGCATACGAATCGGAATAATACGTCATAGGCATTTTCATATCGAGTTTTCGTAGTGACGTGATAGAGAGGAGGGTAGAAGAGACGGAAGGAGAAAACAGGTTGTCCGGCGAAAATCATCCGGCAAACTAGAAGCGGTTATTGATGAAGGATCGAAAAAATAGCATGGAATATTTTGTTAACGGTTCGTGAAAACTGGCACGGGGGAAAAATCGCGAAGGAATCCCGTGGGAAAGCGCGGAAATCCAGATTCAGTAGATTGAGTCGGCGTTTATCAAGGGTCAAAAATCTCGATATTCGATTCCGACTGTATAACTGTTGCGGCCGTTTTAAACGACGGTCGACAGATTTCGTGCGAACGAATCTCTGCCGCACTCGCCGTTATTACAGAGCAAATACGAATGTGTACCGCTCCGTAAATCGAGTTTACAGTCGTGTCTTCGATTTTACCCGCTAGAAGTGTAAAATAACGTCGAACGCAGGCGAACACGCGAGTTGAATTACGTACAACAAGGTGCATTTATTCGGAAACATGCATCCCATCCGCTTTCGATGCGTTCGTTGCCGCTCATTCGATGGCTCTCAATGGATTATTATAAGCGTTTGTGTCGGTTTTTGTTTCCTTTTGGTACTTTTTTCGCAGCAAGATTAAAACGCGATTTTCCGTTATGTTTCACAAATAACGTTTGTCTGTCATTTGAGTGCTGGAAAAAAAACAACCCCCCTCTTGTTAGCGAACAAAAATGCGCCTGACCGAAAAAAGAAGCGTTAAACTTCGCTCTGCATCGCATGATTTTCGCCAATCGCGACGAACTGAAGAGATTGAACGGCGAACTGAAAGGTACCTTATATAGCCCGAGGCAGGATTAGCGGCGCTGTTTCCATGGCGAAAATCGTCGTCGATGTCTAAAACGTTCGCCAGTAAACTCTTACTGCTCCTCTCTTGCAGCTCCAGTTCCTTCATTCGATTACTCATGAGAATGGTCTTCTTCGTGATCTTCTTGCCCGGCCGACTCATGCGCAACACACACGGCAGCCATTGCAGAAACAGTATTTTCACCTGCATAATAAACATCAAAAATGATTGTCTCTCTGAAACTTTGTAACTACATTGTATCGCCTACATTGCCTCGCATTTTTATTTTTCTGAATTTTGTAACGAGAGAAATTTTTCAGAAATTTAAAATAGAATTCTAAACTGGCGCGCATATCATATTTAAAGTTTAACATTAGGGGACTTGCAATTTAAGAATATTTTATGATTAACATTGTTTTAAAAAACTAATAACTATAGAAAATTGCTAAAACAAATAGAGTTCTTCCAAGTCAACTGTCGATAGTTTCAACAATATATTTTTCTGCATGCAATAATTCTTTTATCATTATATAACAGCTATATATATTTTAAAAATTATACGTAATAGATTCTGAGTTTTTCAACAAGACAAAAAATTTAAGGAGAAAACGAATCTATTAATATTTAATCGGTATATATATAATTCCGATTTTGATTTTTTTATACCTAAATTCAATAGAAAAGTGCCAACTCGTATCAACGTATTTCTTTTTTAATCAAAGAATCATTTATCGGATTAAAAATCCAATGTAATGCATTTTATGCTGGCATATTATATAAGTATTATACGTGTTATGAGTGCTTTGTAAACAAAGTCTGTTTAAATTCAGAATATATTTCTCTGGTATGTTGACGAAATTTGTATTATCCGACGGACCAGCCGAGAGCAATTACTAACACCTCGAAGGCATTTAAACTTTCAAGAAGTAAAACACTGTTTTTAATGGATGTAATGGCCAGCGCGAGACTTATTGTGTAAAATATATTACTAACCATTACTCGAAATATTTTTTATATACAACTGCGAAATTTTGTGTTATTTCGAATTCATAAATTAATTGCTTCTGATTTAAATATTTCCATTAAATAATACGATTAAGCTATAATTTATCATTTGCTTATAATTATCTGAATATACATCAAACTGAAAATTATAATGGCCTACCCTCTCTCTAATTTGGAAATCTAATATATTTATGATCGTATTTTATTATCACGATTATAAATTATGATTCTACGATTTCAAAATTGTTGCTTATTCAATTATTGAGCATAATGGAAAGCAATTAAATTTATATTGATTTCAATGCAGTACGAATACAATAATGATGAAAACAAGTGCAATCTCGGCTAATCCGTTTAGTTAAGCAGCTTATTTCTATGTATCTAAAATGATTAATCTTTATTTGAAATATTTTACTACACGCCCTACCAAAGACTGTATTTTCAGAGCAAGTTGAAAATATCCACGTTTAATTAATTTCCTCGTGAATATGTAATCCACTCTACAAAGATTGCGCCAGAGATGCAGGTTTCACTGGACAGACAACTCGCACGTATAGAGATTACAAACAAAGACAAATAATTTGTATAATCCTAATAATTACATTAATTCTCATGATCAATGTTATTAATTAATTAATTAAGTTAAAATCGTTTGTACTCAACATTATTTTAGTGACAAATTGTTGCTATTTATTTTCATGTTGCATCATTAATAATTGCACGCTGCATTTATCTCTGCATTTATATTATTTGGGAGAGATATGTGTTATTAATTATTAATTAATTAGAAGCTAATTTTCTCTAAAATTATATATTATAATTACATTTAATTGTATATATTTCTTACCCAATTTGGCATCACGTATCTATCGGGCGATCTGTGATGATAGTTGAGCACCAGAACGGTCAACACGACGCTGCTCGCCACCATGAACATGATGCAATTGAAGTATGATCCTGAATCGAGGTATTCCCAAAAATCCCCCGAAGAAAGAATACAAAAAGAAGGCGATTAGTCACGGAAATGGTGTGGATCGACGCTGTTAGCCCGCTTTTTCGTCGAGAATGAAAGATTATTCTCTCGGATTCTCTTTTAGCTCGGCTCACAGCGTAATCGCTTCCGTTTATGCGAAGCTTCTTATACTTCTTCCATCTCATTTTTTGCTCGCATATTTAATAATCTTTCATTCGCTAATACAATTGCTCGCGCGTTTTCCGGTGCGCGTGGAGAGGTTCAAATACATTTGGAGAATATTGTATACTTTAAATGTTTTAAACGCGAAACTTTAATATAAAAAATGACGACTCTCTCCAAGAGAAAGAGAGAGCGATTCATTTTTTAAGTACAATTTTCACAGGTTTTCGCTATAATGTTATATTTATCACGCAAAAGTGCTTTCAGATCTGCTTGAGATCAGCTTCGTTTAGTTTCCAGTTTACATCTATTTGCATCCACGATGGTAGCTTGTATATCGTACATTAACTCTTTTTATCTCCAATTCCTGTTTCTAAGAGGAAATCTACATTGATTCCTCCATTTTAACATAATAAGTGAAATACACGGATTCATATTTGAATATGAATGCATTCTTCTGATGATGCAACGAAAATTCGAACCTCTCCGTGCGAATAAAGACACACACTCCACAAGACATACATTCGCAGTCACAACACACGACGATTCGTGCCATCCGAATGGATCAGTCACGGAATCGACTCTCGCGACTTACACTGGAGGCGAATATTGAGAAAGAAATAATAGACGAGCGAAATAAGAGCATTATTATTCGGCAATAATTGGGAAATAGATAACATAGAGCTAAAAGGAAAGCACATGTACAAGAGAAAAAAATATATATGTATATATATATATATATATACACGTATATATACATATATGCATGTACACATACACACTCATGTACATAGCGTACAGTACATCAGCAACAAAACTGTCTAAAGGCACGATCTAACAATAAGACATCTAGAGAGCATTCTCCAGATACTTCTTATGCGTTTTTCGCATTTCTGTGTTGCATTTAGGCGGATAGAAACGACTGAAGGATGTCGCGAAAGAATATCTGAAAGACGTTTCAATATTTTAAACGTTCCTCAGATATCTTTTAATTTTCTTTTACATATATTATACTTAAGTATATAAAAATGCTTTATTTATCTAACTTCATTTCAATACTAACATTTCCAGAATTTTAACAACAATGGGATACATCGATAATGGATAATGGTTCATTGATTGAAATTACGTTAAGGTCAGCGTTTCTCACTTTGCTAGAATAATGAAGGTAACTTACGTCAATCATCCAATGTTAGATAAGCGCAAATAAGAAAGAAGGTTGAAAATAGAGTGTACTTACTTGTGCGCAAAGTGCGTGTAGACGTATACGAAAAGGAAGAGGCGAGATGGTTATGTTGCGCAGAGAAATAGCAACGGCGAGAAAACGCTTACACTATTCATGCAGCTATAGAAAATGCATTCTGATAAAATATGCATACAAAGGTTTTCCGTAACCTATTTTCTGTTTCCTACATCTTGAATCATTGATACACATTTTTTAACAATACTTAAAAATAAAATAGGGATGCATATCGTGAGAACGTTTAAGCTGCGTTTAAGACTACGCACTACGATAAGATTGGGATGTAGTTCATTTCATTTTTATCGGCGCGAATATCTTACGTGTTCACGATTAAACTGAAACTCCTGTTTAGCGAGTTATCGGAGTTTCGGAGAAGCTAACGTAATCGAAGTTCACCTCGATCGCATGGTATTATATGTATATTGGATATAATGTTGATTATAATTATTAATATATTGTGTATTTATATAATTTTATATATTATTATCTCTCTTATATCATCTTTAATCATCATGTCTTCCCCTTCCCATGATCTAATTGAATTGCATTAAAAAAAGTATGATTAAAATATAATCAATCCTGTCAATGTATATTTAAGATTAACTCTATCATAAAATTTTTTTTAATAACGTGAAATATTCCGGCGCCACGCTGTAAAATATTTTAATACTTTTTTTACGGATTATCTTTTTACCAGGAAATAACCAAGTCCCTTTCATATAACGGAGCAACATTATATCACGTAGATGCGGAACATTTCTCGCAAATTAAAGATTTTCGAGCGATACATTTTCATTTACCGCTTACGCTCGGACGCAGTTGAATATTTATTCTCCTTCCTACAATCGCAAAGGTTCGCTTGTAACTCCAATTACGGATATCTATTTCCCTTAATTATTAGATCGCCATAATCGGACGAGCGCATCCGAAATGCTGCTTTAAAATAAGAGATCGCGAATGATGAAGGGCGCGCGAAAATGAAAAAAAAAAAAGAAGAAAGAACGGGAGAGCTTCAAGTGTCGACGAAAAATACTAAAAGGTCGCTTTCTCGTGTTATCTCGACGGCTGCATTTAATGGTTCCATAAAGCTCGGCACGAGCGTCTCAAGTTGATTAATCGCCATGTACAAAACGGCTATCTCCTCTTATTAATGAATCTTTAAGATTCGCCTGCTATTATGTACTATTATGTGTATACAGTTATGCCAGTTTTGAGTTACTTGATTCAGTCGCTGATTATTCCTTGAAAATTTACATTAAATATATTAATAGCTTGATTATTGATATAAGAAGTTGCGATATGAGATGCAGAAAATTGTAATTTCGAGCAAAAGTATTATTCGGTAATATTTTATCTCTAGCTATATAGATAACATGTTACTTTACATTTCATCAGAACCAAGATAAATCATTTTTTAGCAGAACTTCATTTTCTAGAATTGAATACAAAAATTTATCATACCTTTTGATTTTATGTACGTCAACTATATTTTTTTTAATTTCTTAAAGACAATTTGCACATTTTTAATCAAGATTTTAGATAAATGTTTAATAAGGAAAAAAATATATATTGCTCGCAAAAAAATACTATAATATATTTTTATGTCGGGATGTATTCTGTTGTACATTTTGTTTATTTCGTTAATTAAGAATTGTGTTGAATTTGACCCGAAGAAAGGGAGAATTGATAATGATTACTTGTACATATTTATTTATAAAACCATTTCACGTTTTGACGAATTTGTTTTTCATAGATATGAAATCGAGCGGTATATTTTCTCAAATTAAACGTGACGCTGCTTTCATATTAACGCAGCGCGACGAGAAAATTTTATTCCGACGAAACAGTCGCTACGCGCGTACATAAAGCTTTTTTTCCTCGCACAGTTAGGGATATTCATTTCAAATATTTATTTTATACGCACGTGAGCAAACATCCGTCGGGGCAGCAAACAAAAATTATGTACAATACGAGACGTGAAAAGCATTTTATTTGCAGTTCATTCGATTCACGGCAGAGAGATTCCAAAAATCTTTACAAAATAATCCTACTTGCTCCGCCTGCTTATTATTTCGGCCGTCATATGCTCCAATTTAATTATGACCGATGAAATAACTGACATCGTCGAATTTCCAACTGACAGATAGGTCATAATTTAAATTATTCTACCGAATTAATTAGTTATTACATGCACTGCAACGCCGACCCAGTTAATGTAATGGTTAATGCAGAATTTATAAATCATTGTATGAACGTCGATATTCGCTGCTACAAAATATAATTCGGTCGAAAAACCAACTAATAATGACACGCATGTGTTTGATGTGAGTTAAAAAATCGTATTTGCATATAATTATAATTATAATATAAAGATATCTGAAGATTATCTAGCACGAATCTTACTTGTACATACTCTTTTTTCGTGTATATCATAAATAGTGATTTTTTTTATGCGAAGTTTATCAAACAATTATGAAATATTATATATTATTCAAAGGATTAAAACAAATACGAAATGTTTAAATGTGCAGAATATTTTTAAAACGTACTTTCTAAAGATGTATTATATTTCCTTTTATCGATCTGTTCCTCTTTTGTACGTGATGCGGTCTTTAATTCACTCGATTCATAATTACGAGGCGCCAAGAGTTACAAGTGGAATAACTTCCCTATTAAAGAAATGCAAGAGAGCGGTAATTCAAATCTTTTTTCATTTTTTACGGCTTTCAAGGTAATTTCTATGAATACTGCTGTGCCGTCATTTCAATACTACTCACGTAACTGTGATGCTATTCATATCATCATCAGTAAAGTATTTCTAAAGAGCCATCGTGTGTTTTGTAAAAAGTATAAAGCTTTGATAATAACAGAATTAGAGTTTTTAACAGATCTTTCTTTATTTAAATATTGTTAAATTCTCTATTTCGGTTTTAACATTTCAAATTGCAACTTTATAAAATCATATTTTGAATAAAAAAAAAAGTTAACCTGAAAACTTTTATTTAATATATTAATATATTTTATTTAATATATACTTAATACCGAATACATATGTAAAGAGAATAATAGATTAATAGAAGAGAGAGTATTATATTAATATTCTATAATTCATTATTAAAATAAATAATACGAATACCAGATATTAATTGTTATAATACAATGTAAGAATTGATTAACACTGAAGAACGAATTATCATCCTGTTTAATGTTATATTTTAATCAATCGACTATTGACGTTATACGACACATTGTTCGTAGACAATTTTCGCATTCGTAAATCATTCATGTTTTCATAGAACTGCTGTTAGATATTCTAAATGGAGTCTATTTGCTCGAGCGCGAACGAATTTTACGTTGTCGATGCTCTTCTTGTTTTCTTTTTCCTTTTTCTGTCGATGCCACGAATCCCGCTTCGTTTCCCGAGCGTATTTCCTTTCCTTGAAGACGCTCGTTTACCTTTTCTATTCCTTGATTACTTCGAACGACTCGTCGACGAAGTGGCTCGTTCGTTACGTAGTCACGTAATAGCACTCTCTCTATCTCTCTCTCTCGCTCTTTTCCCTGTATATATTTCTCTTG